GGGGGGGGGGGGTGTGTTTCAACACCAGGTGTTTGGTATTCATATTAGGATCCTGACTAATCAAATTTTATATTGCGTAAGGTATCCATTAAAGGGGTTAGCGCTCCCTTTCAACAAAAATTCATTCACATAGTTCGAATCAAAGATATAGGTGCTGAAGTCTTTACTAACTCTATAAATAAAGAATGTGGACACTTATAAATGTGGTAAAGTATAATGGCAACTGCATTAGTAGGGCCATTGTGTTTGGTTATTGTTCTGAATATTAAATAGTATAACGACAATGTTATTAAACAAGTATATGACTCAAAAAGCTGATACACTAGTAAAATAACTTATGTTCATAATTGATAAGTAAAAGGAAAACTACTCCATTTGGTGATCTGAAGATGACAAGGAAAATACACCTGCTAATCAGTACATTTCGACACATATTAACAGCTTGTTTGGATGGTTGTTCCCCGTTGTATCGTATTGTATTGTTATCCCAAAACAATGTTTGTTTTGATAGTTTCATTAAAATTAGTTGTATTGTATTGTTAAATCCATTGTTCCGGAACAATGAAAAGTACCCTTTTTTGAAACAACTGATTTGGTGTGGGGGGATTGTTTCATATTTTTCTTTCCAACTATGCCTTAACTTATTACTCCATAATTTTATTTTATCCTTTAGCTTTTTTTGCTATTTTAACTCCAAATTTCCAACCTATAAACTACTTTATTTTTTTCCAGAACTTCTGCCGCCAACGTTAAAGGTGTTTTGCCGCAATCTGTTTTATTTTTTCTCCTAATTTGCTTTTAACTCAATTCTAATTAGTTGTGCTCATTTGTTTTGCCTTCTTCTGTCTCACTCCTTTATTTTGCTTTCTTAAGGTGTTTTGCCTTCCTCTGTTTTGTTTTTTAAAATTTTTTATATTCCTATACAATATATGAAACTATATTACCCACCCTACTCAAGTTTTACTATAATTACATTTTATATAACCAATTACCATTTATGTACATTTTAAGGGAATTAATGATAATAATTAGTGTCCTAAAATTACTCTAATGTATCTTCCACTCCCCCATGTTTCTCTCTCCACATACCACCCTTCATCCCCCACATATCTTGCACTCACCCACGATTCCACCATTGACAACCATTAAAAAGTTTTGAATCTTTGAATTCGAATTTGAGTTTTCAAAAACATTATTTGTTTGAATTGGGTGTTGTTGCAAAGAATTGGGAATTCTCTCTACGTCTCTCTCTATCTCTCAATCCCTAATTTCAGTAATGTAAAGCAAAGGAAAAGAGAGCAGCAATTCCACCATTGACAGCCATTAAAAAACTTTAAAGCTTTGAATTCGAATTTGGGTTCTCAAAAATCATTATTTGTTTGGATTGGATGTTGTTGCAAACAATTGGGAATATGGTTTGGAGTTTATATCTCAATTTTGAGGGTTTTTGGTGAGGATTAGACGTGGTTTTGGCTGAATTTCAGATTGAAACTCGAAGAAGAAGATATGATATACATTATATTTACGAAATTGTAGTAAAATTGTAGAAAAACTGTAGAAAAATTGTATTCTGTTGTTTATATATATATATATATTATTTAACTATTGCATGAAAGTTGAACAATATTGTATAAAAATTATATTTAAGTTGTATGATATTGTAGTTGTATATAACTGAGTAGAAATAACGTATGATAAGTTGTAGATAAATTGTATAATATATAATTAGTTGTATGAAATTGTTTTTACTATGTATAAATCAGATACAAAATATACAAAAGACATATTGTATAAAATTTGTATACAAATTGTATTTAAGTGATATGATATTGTAGTTGTATATAACTGGGTAAAAATTAAAATAAAAAAAAGGAATTAGCATTCAAAAATGGTTGTTACTTCCATCCAGGATTAGAGTTTAACTTGAAGATCTTTAGGTGTTTTCTTTTTCATTTTAATGGTGAGCTGTACATGGTCAAATAGGGGATTACCGTAGTGTATTTTCTTTCGGAAACGAAAAGAAACTCCGTAATAACTTGAACAACTTATTTTTTCCTGCTTGAGATATTGACATTTGAACTGCGACAGTATGTTGTGAAGTCTAATGGCCGACAAGTCTGCTCATGGTTTTTGCACACTGGAGAGCCTTATTGTTAAATGGAAAGAAACTCCAATTATATTTGCTTCAGCCGGAAGTTTCACAATAACTGAAACATGCAACATGCTTCGTTGTGGTGGCACGGAGCCTATTGATGCAGAAAACAGACATAAGGTGAAGATAAAACATTTGTTATGTGAAGATCTTTGGAGCAATCAAAATTGAATTAAGCTAATGCCTTAGATAATTTCCTGTAGTCCTAGTTATTAATCTTTTTTTCTTTTCAGAATCCTCCTTTTTCCACAAAAAAACTCCCTTGTTAGTCCTCGAATGCTGGAATTGGAAGTGAAACCCGTCACATACTTAATGGCATAAGCCGAAACCATCGATGATATTCTGAGGTTTGTTAACCTTTGTCCCACCTGAGACGTAAGACATAGCTATACAGAAAATTTATCAACAAATCTTCAACAATATTGAAGGAATTTTAGCAACAAAATCCTCAGCGGATTGAAGAAAGAGGAAGGGAAAAAATACAGAGAACTTACTAATGTTCAACCCGCAAGCGCAGATCAATTGTGAAGTATAGAAAAACGACGGTTTGCTGGAGAGAAGAGGGGAGAGATGAGAGAAAAAAGTAAAATGATGTAACTAAATTCTTGATTGAATGCACAAATAATAGATTAAGAGTCTTTTAAGTTGGATTGTATATATTTTGCAAGTAAAATGTGTTTAGGTCGGGTAAATATCAAAACATGGACATTTTTCGTAATAAGGTTTCCAATAGTGTACATGAATGAAAAAATTCCTTATTTTTATGCATAATTTTTAATAAATTGAACATTTAAACAATTGAGGGTATTTTAGTAAACTTATCAGTTACAGTACAACAATACAGTCAAACCAAACAGCAAAATATTATTTAACAATAATAAATAATACAATCTATCTAAACATTGTATTCATAAAACCGATACAATACAAATAAATATAATATATTATAAAACGATGGAACAATGATGCTTTTCAACTGTCACATTCATTTTACGAAGAAAATACAACAAAATAAGCAAATAAAGAAAATAAATATATGTACAAATGTAACATAGTAAAGTCCATGTGGGACCATATCTCCTAGTACAGAAGAGATCTTAAACTAAATAATAAAAAGAAAAATCAATGGCGTGTCCACCTGAATAATCGTGTTCGATGAATTTTTACTCACTTAATGGTGTCATACTTTGGCGAACTTTCGTCAGATTTACTCCACCCGTCCTAAGAAATCATTAATCTTCAATTGCCAAAAATTTCTTCAATTTCTTTCACCTTTTTCTCTTATAATTGCATTCAAGTCCTTACTTATTTTGCTTATGCCATTTTTAATCCTCCTCCTTCTGAGATGGGGTCCTCCAAAACCCAGCTCCATAGAACCGGTCCCACATCTCCGTTTCAAAATCGGCGGCTTCTCGTACTCCGTCGTAGTCTCCGTCATCTTCACCGTCAAACTCCTCCTCGTTATAAACACCAAGCAAATCGCTCTTATTTTTCTTCATCGCCTTCCATGAATCCTCCTCTTTCTTCTTATTCCTTAAAAGCCTCTTCCGCTTCTTCTTCCGCCACATTTTCCGGCACAGTCCCGTCGGAACTTTGTACACTGCCAGTACCAGAAAATGCATCACTGCACATGGACAACAGCAGCAGACCATCGCACACTCCGCCGCCGTCCCACCAACCACCTCTCCTATCCGTTTGTGAGTACTCCCACTCCGCTGCCTCTCTTCTTCCTCCTCCTTCATTGTCTTTGATTCACGAAATCACTCGTTCGAGATTATCAAAACTCTGTAGTAAATGAATGACAGATAATCATGAAAATCAAATCAACGATCAATTTTTTTTTCTGATTTGAAGGAAGAGATATTCTCGGAAAAGAATCGGACTTTAATAGAAAGCAGAATTCTTCGGTCAAATGAACTTAGAAAATCATCGACTTCAGGGATCCAATTGTGATTTTTTAATAATAATAATAATAGTAATGATACTAATAATAATTTATCCTAAAAACTTTAAAGAGAAGCTCAAATCAAGTTGTGGAAGCGTCACTAATGTTTTCTTTAAATTAGGTTGTCGACATCATATGTTTTAGGTGTGACTCTTAGAATTCAGCGTGAATGCCGACGACCTTTTTTTTAGGAACATGTTTGCTTCATATCAAGGAATTGTAATTCTGAGTTATAATCCTTGGATTATAAAGTCAGATTTTATATGGAATAACGAATAGCAATATTTTGGCATAAAATTTATCTCTGATATTAATTAATACCCACAATTAAACATATAATAAATGTAATCTTAAATTTTATACTGAGAGTAGATTATCATCTCGGTAATCAAACGACACCTTAGTGTCGAAGTATCTACTTAGCAGTTCTTTGGGAAGGAAA